GTCCAGGCATTATGACACATCCCTATATACCGCACTGCCTCTCTCCGTGTTTACTGCAGATTTTCATTAAACGTGTAGCACCGGCTACTCGTGATTCTAACCTGGTCCACTCCTCCCACTGCATGCATTTCTGAACCCTGCACCGCAATACAATGTACTCCCTTATCTGAAATTCATAATCAGCTTCCCACATAGTGTGCATACCAAGATAAAACAGCCAAGCAACGGCAATCCATATGGTGCTCACTTTCAGAATATGGTTCGTGATGTGCTTGTGATTCTAAATGCAAAACCATATTTGGCAAAGCTTGAATAATGCTCTGCTGAAGCATGAATAACGTTTTCATTTTTCAAATGCCACATTATGCTGCAAGGGTAAAATACAACAGTTAAAACAATCTGGCAGAAATGCACAAACTACCCTAAACATGATTAAAGTCTGATTCCTCATCAGTGCTTGAGCACAGATGATGTTGTCCTGCTCCGTAAATATTCATTGATCCATAGCATGGGGGCCGGAAATTGGACACGCTGCAGAATTCTACAATTTACATTAAGTTCTGGCTGGATCCTGTTCATGACTGTACTGTAGCAGTCTGTGTTTTTATAAAAGCTTAAAATAAGAGGTTCATAATACTGAGGTTGCTGATTTCCAAATGGATTATCTGTTTTCTGATGTTACTGATGTGTTACTGGACCACACAGTACAGTATGTGGGCTCTGAAGAATGTAGACTGAGTTTGTGCCCTGACAGCATCACGATTTGCTTCAACTAATGTAACAAACAGCACAGATAACGGCCTAACAACAGGGGAAGGAGGGGAGCATTAGTGCAAGGATGTTCAGGTGAAGTATGCTGGCTCATTAAGAATGACAGTGTTGTGATCACCTGTTTACATTTTAGCTACATTTCAGATCAAATAGCCGTGATGTCTGAAATGGTTCAGTTATGATAAAGAGGGGGGCAATCTTCAAATCAGTCTGTGTAATGAAATCGTTACCAGGAGAAGAAGACTGGAGCTTGGTTAAAGACTCTGAGTCAGGGAGTGCAATGATTCAGCAGAGCGTAATAATGTATCACTCTGTTATGCCCAGTGGGATTTAACCTTTTGGAAGTTCACACACATTCTACCAGTGTCATTTGAAACTTCCCCACCAGCTAAAGGACATAGTTTATTTAGCCTTGAATATGCTATACCTTACTCTCCTGATAAGAGGTTAACTACATTATATTATGCCCTGTACAAACTATAGTTACAAATAAATAGTTTTTTTCTGAAAAACTCAAAGGAATTGATTTGATTTCTGATTCTGCATTAATTTCACCCATCAATGTGCTGATACTGACACTACCACTTTGTTATACACACTAAAGCCTTTTGGCCAGTAGTGATTAAATGTACCCATTAGTTTTACGCATGCACAGCCACCGTGTATCCGTGCATTAACCTTTCAAGGTCGTTTCCGTGCTGCTGGGAAAAGCGCACAGGCAACCAGATTAAGAACTGTCACGTAGCATATCACAAACATATGCACAGCAACGCTCCCTGAGTCATCATCTCCCTCTAAGCTTTTCTATCACTGATGTGCTCAGTCAAACATATACACACCTCCTCCCACTGATGTATGTATCTGATGAGTCGGGACAGTCTTAGCAGTCGCAGGAGACTGAGGATCTTGGTGAAGCGGACGATTCGCAGGGCACGGGCTGTTTTATATACCTCCGAGTCAAAGCCTTTCTCAACTATTAAAAAGATATAATCCACTGGAATAGAGGAGAGGAAGTCCACAACAAACCAGCTCTTCAGGTAATTCATCTTGATGACCTTGGGGTCAAGGATTATCTCAGAGCTCTCCTCATTGACGATCCCCGTCCTGAAGTTCATGACCAGGTCCACCAGGAAGATGGTGTCTGAGGCCACATTGAAAACCAGCCAGGTGGTGGTAGTCTGCTCTGAGAAGAAGGTTATTCCCACAGGAATGATGATTAGATTTCCCATCATCATGATGAGCATTATCAAGTCCCAGTAGAACCTGTGGGACAACACACACAAATCAGTAACGCAAGGGCGAAAACATGTTGTAGAAAAATAAGTGTGAGAATGTGTCAGGAACTGTTAGAATGAAGGTTCAACGCTGCTACTTTAGCAGGTAATGTTCACCATCTTTGTTTTGTGCACAAGCTAACATATGCTAATTAGCATTATACACTATCCAGCTGTGCAGTCCGGTATCAAATGTTATAATGATCCATATGAGTTAAAATAAAAGACACATTTAAGAGTAATTCAGCAACTATTTATATACATTTAAGTACAATATACCACAGCAAGTCACATGGTCAGTGAGGCCCTACTTTAGCACCAAACTCAAGTGCAGCTGTGGCCAAAGGGAATGATGTTAGTTTTGTAGGTATTTTAGTCAGAAGCCAAAGAATTGGATAAAATAAAATTTTGACCTGACTTTGGTGAGTTTCTGATCTTTAGCAGTTATTACAATTCATTCAAAGCGGTACATGAATGTCAGCACCACGTGTCACATTTCACAATAAAAATGGGAACCTGCTGGCACCGGTGGAGGAAAAGTCAGGGAATGACCAAAGTCAGTAGCGTACGTTGTCTGGAGAACATAAATAAAATAAATACAAAATCCATCAAATATTTGCTGTCATATTTTGATCTTGACCAAAGTCCCTTACCGTTACTGACTGGTCCTGTCATTCCTAGAGTCTCTCTACTAACATAACCCCCCCCCCCCCCCACCTTTGACACTCCGAGCCCAAAGTTAACTATCATGCAAGGACGTCAAACACTTACTGTAACTACTGTATGCAGGGTCCTGTCAGAATAAGACCCCCTCTTCCTTTATGGCTGCGTTAATGTCCTTGTTCTCTGTTTTGTGGTGCACCGAGTCAGACCTGATTCATTAGCACCCTGCTTTTCACAAAGTGTCCTGGCAGAGCAACCATGAATGAAAATGGATGCTTTCAGGAATCCTATCTCATGCTAAAAACTCTTCACTGACGCCACCTCTGCTGCTTGACTGCCTGCCTCTGCTCTGCTTTGCTTCCCATCCATTTGTGTTTTTGAAGATAGAAATGGAATGGCTGGCTGGTTGGCAGACTGGCCACCCAGTAATGGATCTGTTAGAATGAATTAAGCAGGGGCCTTGGCTTTATAAATATCCACAGATCAAGTGTCCGATAATTGTCCTCACTTCAACTAAACAGCCGTCTTCTAGGTGACTCATTGTATCCACCATAGGCATTTTTGTTTAACACCAGCAGGGACTGAACTGGGGTTTATGGAGTGGACTCATCGTATGGAGGGCCGTGACCTTGGGGATAATGTACACAGTGTGTGGCATGAGTTATTCATTTTGTAATTTATATAGAAATATTTAAAAGAATACAGTAAAGACATATGACAGCTTTTCAGTTGATTTACAACAAAATCATTTCTCAAAATAATTCATATAATCAGTAGCTTTTAATTGAAATTGCAGGCCCACAAAGTGCCCACGTCTCTAAGATATCTCTCTTGGTTAAGGTAGGTGGTATTTATAGTGTACATGACCTCTACAACACCCTAATGAATAAAACCTGTTTTCTTCTTGAATTAGAAACCATAGTTCAGCGGCCCTCAAAATATTTTGCAGTAGGGAGAAGCTGTTTACAGACTCAAAGAATACGCGAAAAAAGACCAGTTCAGATGTGTGAACGCTGCAGTAAGTGACATGTCATTTTAAGTCAAATCTAAGGCCAGTCATGAAGCATGTTGTTTAACGACACTCGATCCAGCTATTACTTTGTCACCGTATTAGGCTTGTGCTCCAATGCTCTTGGAATGCACTCGGCCACATTAAACTGCTGTAATGACCGAAAACTCCAACACTAGCAGCGCATTCAGTGCCCAGTTTGACCCCTGCTTGAGGTTCGACAGCTCTTGGTGCTCTACACGCACACTCACCTCTACTTGCAGCCCATTCGTGCGCCCAGGTCCTGCCCCAACTGTGTGTTCACATCAGGGTGAGCCCTGCACTCTGCTAGTCTTTTTTTTGTTTGTTTGTTTGTTTTCTATTCCAACTCTAGTTTCAATTTGCTCTGAAACACAAGCTGCTGTTCTGATTGATTATAATGGGAACTGTATCATTGTTTCTGAATGGATTTGGCTCTGTTATGTCACAATAATGTCAGCACTGATTCCTCTGCACTCTGAACTGCAATTAAATGAGCGTGTGGGCCTATTATATCAGGAGAAAACCTTTCAGTTAATAAAACCTATCAAAGCCAAACAGTTCCATGCTGATACTCCGTATTCAATACTGTAGCTTCCACCCCTTTGGTGGATTAGAGAACCAGCTCCAATTGAGGCAGTGCACATCTATCTATCAAAAAGTCCTGCTCCAAATCAAGCCAGTTCATTTCTTTTTGTAGGCTTTCTCCCCTACAACAAGCGCTCCATCATAATCAATGCCAGACCACTCCTGCTGAGCAACAGAGGGAACGCCACACGATCCTGTCAAATCTTACACTTCATTGGATCAGCTAAAAATGTTCTAAACCGGCTGTACTGACTGTACACCATTAAATACTCAAACAGATGCAGTTCAGGAAAGGTCATCCCTCTCTATTAATAAATTTGGAACTCAACACTGAAGAAACTACATTTTACAGTATGGAACATCTGAATCTCAAAAACTCAGGAATGTCATTTTCATATCTTCAGTAGTAGCATGTAATTACTAATGACCAGGAGAGACTGCCAGAAATTAAATTGTGCTTCTTTTCCTCCACAGTAGATCCTAGGCAGCAATGACAAACTTAAATGGCAAAAGAATTATGGTGAGCAAGAACAGCAAAATGGCATTTCACCTATGATGAGGTGTGTTTTGTAAAAGCTAAACTTCAAGAAAAAATAGCCCCCTAGACTACGACAAAGGCCTCTCCTTAGCATAAACAGGGTTGTATGAGGCCATCCATGAAGCCTCTCTAAAAATCTATGAATAATAAATATTACTAACCTCCCATTAATCTTTAAAAGCAGCTACTGTGTACAAAGAATATGTTGGATATTGAGTTTCAAACACTCCCACAAAGCAATATAAAGCCTGTGTAAAGAGGGGTATCACTCATAAACTGTACTTGGTAAGACAGTGTTTTGTTTTTGTCGCCATACAATGTTCTACCACAACAGACAAAAGACTGTGGTTCGGTAAAGATTGCTAGTGATGCACACAAAAATAATTAAGTTTTAAGACCCACAATAGAGAAACAATTACTTTTTGAGGTAGAGTACAAGGAGCCCTGCCAAGCAAAGTGTACCTTCACACTCCATCATTTATGCACCACTGTGGCAGGTAGTTTGAAGCCCTGTGATGTAAACAATACCACTTTCAAGTCAGTAAACATGTCCTTCTGGCACATAATGGTAGTGTCTTTACACCAGCTACCTAGAGGACAAGGACTTCTGAAAAATTGCCCTTTGGAAAATGTCATGAGGAAGGAACCTCAGGGGGCCCTCACCATCCTGTGAAACATTTTCCAATGCAGCAGAAATAAAAGGGCCAATCTCCTTCAGCAGAGATGAAATTGCAAAATCCCCACCGATAACCTAATTTGTCTCTTATTTTACATAGTATTTACTCTAAGATGTGTGTGTTTACTGCGGTGACACAATCTGCCTCCATCAGTTCTCATTATTTAGCTCTTTTTCTTTGTGTTTCCTCCTCTAACCAAACACAGTTCAGTACATTACAAATGCAGTTCATACACTAAATGAATGAATTGCTTGATTGATTAATAACAGTGGGGAAAAAATGGTACACATATCACTGAACTGTTGAGGTGCTATCCTTTGTCCATCTTTTAGAGAGAATCACTTTCCTTAGATAATTGTTTTTAGAGATTGCTAAACTCATTTACTGTTGTGTTGGGCTACTAATCCTTGCCCACCACTGTTTGCACATCTGTGCATATACCCGTATCTTTGTGTGAGTGTGTCCAGGACACCATATTTAGCATTATTTTCTTTATGTGTAATTGCATGGGAAGTGCAGGAGTAAAACAAAGTACCTGTGGATATTAAATCAGTTTATAGATATAATGTCGACTCTATTGTATCTCATTGTTTCACTCCAACCTGTCACTACAATCAGTTTATCTACACAGTCACGATGACCAGTGTGCCAGTTGTTTAGGTCATGGTTTAGCTTGCAGCAGTAGAACAGCTGAGAGATTGGTCACGATGACCAGTGTGCCAGTTATTTAGGTCATGGTTCAGCTTGCAGCAGTAGAACAGCTGAGAGAAACAAGGTGCTGCACAGTCAGGCCTGCTCTGGGTTCAGGACCATGGAGAGCTCTGCGTTAAAGGCAGGGGGACCAACGTGCCCTGGTACGTCATATGTAGCACCCTGGAAAACGGGGGTGTCACCTTGTACCGTAGCTGTGCCAAGGGGCACTGGTGCAGACTGGGCCAGATGATATGTTTAATTGGTTAAGTGGTGAACCGTTAACACGCAGCATGGACCTGATCTCATTAGTTTACCATTGAACGCATTGTGACATAAACTGTAACACATAAGGCTACAGCTCATTGGAGAGGAGTTAAACTACAACTGAGTGGGGTGATTTAACCTGAATGTGTGATAATGTGAAGATCCTTTTATAGGGGTAGTTTGAAAACGCTGTTTTCACTTTCAGCCTTACTCTGGACATAGACTTTGTTCAACTGAGAGAATAACAAGCCAATGAAACAACGACAGTAATCATGTCATAGTGAAGCAGGAAGTGTGACATGATCGTTCTGCAGCTCCCTTGAGACAAACACATTACATCATATTTCCTCAGCAGAGCAGCATCAGACACACAACCTTGGTAGGTCTATCAGTGCTGTCAAATGTTTGTAACTCTGTGATTAGGTCTGAAAATTAACTTAATACATTCAAAACGCGTCCATTTCCCTTTTAGTCGTGTCCCTGCACGTTTTTCCCGCATTCTGTGCATTTTTGCACACAGGCCCGTCGTGTTACCCCCGCCTACAATTAAATGTTTACAACCGTGATGGTGTAATGGCACTGTCACGTTGTGTGCACGTACTGTCGCCCCTACACCAGGGGGATATGTCGCAATGAGGACCTGGCGCTGTGTTGTTGCTGTGAAACATTCAGAAGCCGTGTGTGCGTTTTTAAATCATGACATTCACTGTTCTTTTTCCAAGGACATTTGACACACACCTTTGTATGTAGCTTAATGCGTCCTTCTGTGATAGCGTATAGCCTAATAAAAATGCCGCAATGAAACACACTAACTGAGCGCATTGTTACAGTGGAGCCCTCAGCCAGCGGAAGCCTGATTGCCTAAAGAGGTAGATTAGCGTGTGCGCTTTGGAGCAGGCTGTGCGTGTGTCGATGATAGAGCCTTATGTGTGAACGTGTAGGCTATAGCTTGCAGACCTTTGGGTGGCGGGAGGGGTGGATAAAAGGGGAGTAGTGGGGTGAGCAGGTGTCTTTTCCAGCCCTTACCTAAAATCGCTATATGGATGAATGATCCAGTATCCGGCCGTTTGAACCCTCTCTTGCTCTTTCTCCACGGCTTTCTGACTGCCGAACATACGCAAGGAGAACTTATTGACTCCGGGCTGCATCATGGCCCCAAATTGTCTCTGCATAAAACCATATTGCCTGGAAGCCCCGTCCAAATCGTCAAAACCGACCATGGCCTCTTCCCGCTCCCCCTTGAAGCCCACTGAGTTGCCATGGTCCTTCGTGTTCTGGCTTCCCGTGTTATTTTTCTGCATCGAGTCTTGCCTTTGAAAAACATTATTCCCATCCGCCTTCTCCTCTTTGTTGCTGGAGAACGAATTAGATTTGTCTTCCATTGTGTGTTTAGTTTTCCCGTTTTTCTTTGTGACAAAGCGTTCCGTCTCCTGCTCAGAAGGGCTGCGCGCAAAACTCGAGAGGACGCGCTGTGAGCTCTCCTGTTTCTTTTGATGCCCTTCAAACTGTTCAGCTCCTCTGCCGTCAGTGCGAGTGCTGCAAACTGAGACAGAGCGCCTGAGAACCCGGTGGTTCAGGTTTCTTGGGTTACCGACATCTACCGGCGGCCCCGGCTTCTACCGTCCAAAGCCTCAGCTTCCTCTCACTTCGCACGGCACTGCGGTTTAACCGGCACATGCTCCTGCACCTTATTTACATAATGTGGCTCATGATAGCCCCCTCCGTCTCCTCTCTCCTCCTCTGCTATCGGATTCACGCATGGCAGGAGGAAGTCAATATTATAGAAGCACAGCAAATGCAAAGTGATACATGAAGTTAATAAAGGCATGTTTTCATTTAAAATCAGCTGATAACGCATGTTTGCTTCCTGTGGTGCAGCTGGCAGCACGTTTGCTTCCTACTGGTGAGTGATAATGGAAGACAACACGGTGAAACAGATTGCAATGTCGGTGTGAACATAGTTGGAGCCACTGGCCTTATGAAAAAAACTAGTTGAACATCTTGTGGATATCACACCGTTTAAGGTGTTGCATATATGATCCAACATTTGAAGTGTGAATGTGCTGACAGTACTGTATTTTTTTAATGGCTACCAGCTCGAAGAACTTGTTTGCATAGGCTCTTTTTTTAAAACATGCAATCTGAGCCTTAAGTGATTCGCAAGTAGGTATTGTGCTCCAAAGCAAATCATCTGCATGGTGATGTCTGCAGAATGCATTATGACAAACTATAGAAAGCCACTCCTCAAATGCAGCTCCTAGTGTAAAACACTTTTTTCCCAACATTTAACCTTGTTAAATCAACAAATTATCTTTATCAGGCAGCATGTGTGGCCAGACATTTACATGTCCAGTCACCATCAGGGAGCTCCAGAGTGGCTCAGCAGATTAAGGTCGGTCAGGACAGCAGTATTGTTCTTATAACATGGAAGCTTTTCACTCTTTTACTGTTTAACATGATGCCTTTATTTTGATTGTTGAGACTGGATTTATGCAGCTGTGAACTCCCCTAACCTCAACAAGGTGTGTGTTGTTGTTTTAGAAACTAGTCACCTATACATGGGACACCAGCCAGAATAAATTATTGAATAAAAGAAGATACTCCAGTACCAGCAGTGCTACGTTCAACATTTTACTAAAAATGTGTGCAAGTATAATCAGAGTAATGTGCCTATAACGTATCAGTAAAAGCGCCCAAGCAGAAAAATAGACAGTGTGACAGCTAAAAGTGAAATCTTTTGCCCAACCAAACATTATTAAAAAGAAAAGCAATGACTATCAAAACATTTAATCAGCTCTTCATACTTTTGTTAGGAATATGAAAAGATCATGGTTTGAGTAAAGACTGTTTACTTTGTGAGGTTAGATGCCTCGGTCACTGTCGGGGAGTGACTGCTGCAACACTGACTGTCAACAGCATCTTTGTGTGCATTTGCTGAAATCGCTCATTGTTCATAAGTGGACAGTTTGGAATGTATAGTTAAAGAGTCATTTCATGGACTAAATAAAATATAAAACAACCAAATAATTAAAACATTTTAGACACCTTTTGGTTTATATAAAATTAGTGAGGGTGGGTTGGGGGAACTTGCTCCATGACATCAGTAGAATTTGTTCTGTTTGCAGAGATGGAGGTGCTTGTAGCTATCCCCATTACCTGGCAGCTACATCTCCATCTTGTTCAGAGCACAGTGAGGACACCTGTGTTCCAGCTGCACATTATAGCTGTTGGTTCCATTGTCGGAACCTAATGATTGGACCTTGTGCTTCCTTTAACCATCATCTGGCATAACCTCAAGGACTGATGCCTTACTTTTCTACTCTAATCTTCTGCATTGGTCTTTGTTTAGAGGAGACGGGCTGTGCTTCTCTCACACACAATGCCAGCAGTAGGTTTTCATGGTCAAACAGTTAGAGATGAGGGTCAGACTATCATGGGAATATTGTTTTTATGGCATTGTGGTGGAGGTTTGCCCTCTGAGCGCTGTCTAGTTAGACATGCTTTTTTTGGCAGGCCTTTAGTCTTAATTTTTAAAAATTTACTGCACCATTTATTGTGAGTTAAAACTTGCATTAACATTCTTGTTTGTGTTTTGAAAGAATAAATGTGTACTGTACCATTTAGAGTGGGGGATTATGAAATCTGGTTAAAAAAAAACCCAAACACTTCCTGGAGCCACTGTACTGTTTGATTCAGAGAGCACTATTCAGTAACTCCTGCCACAATGTGGCTTTACATACCTACACCGAACCCATGTACTCAGTCTTTTCATGGCTACACAAAACCACAGTTGCCTGTGTGCATACTGGACAGGATATTAGCTCAGATATTTTGCATCTTTGGTCTTGGATTATTATGTAATGATCCAAATGTTCTTGTAATTGAAACAGACATCCCTTAATTTTTGTGTGTGTTTTGCTCTCAGCTGGGTTTGTGTTTGGTTGGATTAGTTGGCATGCCAACTGTTTCCCCTGCACAACACTTGTGTAACTTCAGTTGCCGAGTTAACGGGGCAGGCAGGGGGACTGAGAGAGGAAAAATGCTGCATAAGATTTATGGCTTAAAGTGATACTGATATTGAACAAATTGCAGTTCCCAGATGGCCCATTCACAAGCCAGAGAATAAATACAAGAATAAATGTACTGAGTGGAGAAAGTGCTTAACAGAGGGGGATAGATTCATATGGGGTAATTCTTTTTTTTTTTGTTTTTAAGTTTAGGCAATTTTCATTATTGATTCCAAATGTTGTTGTTCATCTTAGTCTTCCAGTGTAGCAAAGCAGTGAGTTAAAGGAGAGAGGTGTGAACATTTTATATACCAAAATAAATAATATAATAGAGAATATCCTGAAAATGTTGGGCCACACATCCTGTTTCTCATATGGTCTTGTCGTCCTGATTCTTCTGATGGCATCACCAGCCCCAGCAAATTGCATTGTGTTTCTGGATTAGATCGAGTCATCTCTGCTTACAGTCAATACGTAACCTGGACATGAAACGTTACATGACCCCTTACATTGTCAGCCATTGCTTATGCCAAAAATAGCATCAGCCAGCTACAGGATGGCAGCATTTTGTTACCTTTTCTGCATTGTCATTCAATGCATGGCCAGTTTATCCTGTTTGTTGTTTTTGCTCCTGACATTAGAGGCAACATTTAGAGTAAATCTTAAAGTGCATTAGCTAGGATATTACACATTGTCTGATATCTGTCTGACATCTCTTTTCATTGGTACAGATATCCTTGTTTACCTATGTATGGAGGAGAAATTCATATGAATTAATGCCGTCGCGGTTCGTTGTGCTGTCCACTTGTGACACAACAGCAGCAGAAGTAGTTGTACACATTCACGAACTGTCGTCTCGTTTTAAGGAAGAGGCTTTTTGGCTCTCTGATTCTGAAACAATTAGAGTATTTGGAGTTATGAGGGGGTGCCAAGCTAATCTAGCCATGGGCACTTTAACAAAGATTATCAGAAACACACAGTATTTAGAATTGCAAATAGTCAGAGTAGGGCTGGGCAGTTAATCAAATCTTATTTTCAGTTATTTATATAAGTAATGATACAGAAATATGTCATTTCCTCTGAATTATCAGTCACAATTAGGTAGTTGATTAGTTTTTCCAGTTGAATCATATTTAAAATTCAAGAAAACCCCCTTTTAAAAGACAATATTTAAAGTTCAATAAATCCATGATGTTTCTAAAAATCAATGAGTAATCATGTTAAATAATCGTGATCTCAGTTTTGACCAAAATAATCATGATTATGATTTTTGCCATAATTGTGCAGCCCTATTGTACAGTGTAATACCTAAAGGAAATGGAGGAACCTCAGCTGTAAATAAAATTCAGTGGCAGAGGTCTTCTATCACTTCTATTCATTGTTCCACTACAGTGCATCATGAAAACGGTGAGAAATAATAGTATGGAATTAGGGCATAGCAACAGTTGGTTCCTGATACCGTACTGGGCAGCCTGCCGAACCTGGATGTAGCCCAGCTTTATCAGACAGTGTAACCCAGCACCCAACCCCGATTAGCTTAGAGGACTGATATTGGAGAGCTATTACAACTAAATATGTTTAGACATCTTTTATCCTCACAGTATTGTTCTTTTGTCCCCACCTCAATGTTATTAATGAAAAGAAACACAGATAGTCCAATGAGAGACTGTTGCATGTTCCAAAAACAAATTAGTGAAAGAAAAATGTTTTTTCAATGCATTTGTTCAAGCATAGAACATGTACAATATACAGAGATTGCTCATCAGCCCCTCTCATCCAAAGCTCTGCCCCAAATCCTCTGATACAATTCAGCCACTGCCTGTTGAATTTCAAATAAGCAGTATGTGTATGCACTTTCTTTGCTAATGGATTTTCTCCATCTGTCTCTATTGCCCTCACATCTAACCACATTTTAGTATAGTAGCACAGAATGGGAAAAGCCGTTAAACACCTATTTTCAACATAAATTTTAGCTGATTTTATGTAGCGCCTTTTAACCTTTTTCAAGAAGGTTGATAAAGTTCAGCGTAACATATGGTTCAAGTCGGTTGAAGTGACACAGTTGAAGCCAGGGAAAACATATGCCTAGACACTGGCTCAGGTGTTGATGCACAGTGACGGCCTTTCACTCCCTAATTCTAGATTTGTGGCATGCACACTGTCCACTTGCTAAGCGTAGTAATCCCAAAGGATTGGGAAGTATTTTTAGTAATGGATTTACTGACGTCCCTTGATCCCTTGATGGGTGGCGCCTTTCAGAACAGTCATGGACTGTGCCGCTCCGGCCTTGCTGAGCAAAGTGTTTATCAGTAGGCACATGTGGGGATGTATGTGTGTAGGCTTCTTAGCCATCTACCAGCCACAGTAAATAATGCAGCAGACCCGACAGAGAACTGCAACCATGGTTTCTTCCAATCTTACTTAAGAAATGTGCAATGTTTTTCTGTCTGCCATCCTATCTGAAACGCATCATAATGAAAACCAAAGATGAACCTTCTCACAGTTGCCATACATGCAGGTTATTCCGCTGTGTGTTCACTAACAGCCCCTGAAGTTGCTTTCACAATTGGTCCTGCATCATTTCTGCTCCACTGTGACTGAATGTTCGCAGTGCCATAGGAAACCGAGATTTTAGAACAAGGGTTGTAAGTTGCTGGGTTGATAGGCGATG